GTTGTGTGTGTGTGTGTGTGTGTGTGTGTGTGTGTGTGTGTGTGTGTGTGTGTGTGTGTGTGTGTGTGTGTGTGTGTGTGTGTGTGTGTGTGTGTGTGTGTGTGTGTGTGTGTGTGTGTGTGTGTGTGTGTGTGTGTGTGTGTGTGTGTGCACTAACATGCTCTCAATTCACAATTCACTCACCACCACGAGCTCGAGTGTGAGTGTCAGTAGGGTCACGTTATTTAAGGTCAAGCACAAACAAAAAACAGGGTCTTTCACGTCGGGCTCGCGCAAGAAAACACGGTCGTTAAACCACCACCCCTCACTTACTCACTCTGCTTCATCACCACCTTCATCCTCACCCTCCTCCCCACCCTCACCCTCCTCCCCACCCTCCTCACCCTCCTCACCACCCACCTCACCCTCACCACCGCCATCTGCGTGGTCCACCATGTGCCGGAAGGGCTGCGCCTCCGTGGAGAGGAGGCCCAGGATGCTGTCCAGCTTTGTCAGGTCAGGCAGCCGCGCGTCAAGCGCAAACTGGATGGGCTCAATGCCCAAGTTGCGCAACGCAGCCGTCATGACGCCAGTCTGGTTTGGCTCCAAAAACGACACAAACACAATCTGCGCCGGGTGCACCTCCGTGTAGTACTTGTAAAACAGCTGGTGGAAGTACAAGCCATCGTGCTTCATGTTCTCCTTCTCGTCTGTCACCACCACAAACGTCTTCACCACCCGCCGCTCCGAGTAGAACTCGGCCAGCGCAGCTGCCGGTGCCGTCTGCCGGTCCGCACGCGTGGTGGACACAACATCCAGCACGTCGGCAGCCGTCCTTGGCACGGTATCTGGGCACGTGCTCTCCGTGTTGAAGAAGCGAAGGTCGCCCTCCGTCAGGGCGGCCACGACGCTGCTGATGATGACAGACACGCGGATGGCCACGTCCATGGAGTACGATGCGTCGCCAAGCACGACAACAGGCGGGGCAAGGTCCACGTCCAGGCGGCGCAGGTGCTCCTCGGCAAGCGGCAGCAGCAGCGGTATAAGCGGGGACGCGGCGTGCTGCTGCTTGAGGTACAGCAGTCGCTCCATCAGCTTGCCATATGGGAGGGTCGGGTGGTCCCCTTGGTGGATGCGTTCGGCAAGCACCGTGTCCAGGTTGGGCGTGTACAGCTCGTGGTGCCACCACAGGCACGTGTTGATGGGCGCATACGACGCCACCTGCAGCTTGCACGCCTCCGACAGGGCGTCGCTGTCGCCCTTGCCGTGCAGGCGCAGGAAGGAGTAGGGCGGGCGCCACTTGCGGATGACGCTCAGCGCCGTGGATTGCGTCATGTGCTTGCAGGCAGCGACCATCGAGTCCTCCGGCGGCTCCTCCCCAAACACACGCGGCATGAACCAGGGCAGCTGCACCCCGCGCGCAGGGTTCACGTGCACCAGGTCGGCCAGCTCTTGCCACGGCTCCGGTGGCAGCTGCAGCGCAAAGTACTCCAGCTTGCTTGCAGGCACACGCGCCACAAGCTGGCGCACGTACCTCGCACACGCGCCCGTCAGCGTGGCGCCGCCCACATACTCCGCGCACGCGCGCGTGTCTTCAAGCTGCTTGCGCAGGCGCATAACACGCCCCTTGAACGGTGCAGGGAGCTCGGGCACGCTGTCCTCAACCGTTCGCTGTTGCCTGTGGTGGCGCCCGCGCCCGCGTGTGCCCGTTCGACCCCGACCACGGCCACGACCACGACCACGACCACGATGGTTGCGGTGTCGCTGGTACCGCACACCACGACGCTGCTGCTGCTGTTGCTGCTGTTGCTGCTGCTGGTCCTCGCCGTCGTCGTCGTCGTCGTTGTCACGGGATCCATCATCATCATCATCGTGGTCCTGCTGTGGTGTCACCGCGTTCTTGTCCTTCCCCTGGTTCTGTTTCTCCCCCTCCTCTTCCTCCTCTTTCTTGTCCTTGCGCTCACCCTTGGTCACCTTTGATGCCTTCTTCTCCTTCGCCTGCTCTTCTTCTTCTTGTTCACTCTTCTTCGCCTTTGCGCGGGCAATGAGGCGTTGCCTCTTCTCCTCCGCACGGGCCTGCATGCGCTCCACCCTGCCCTCCAGCTGGCGAACAAGCCGCGCAGTGTCCAGGATCTTCAGCGCCCGCAGCAGCTCCGGCAGCCCAAACACGTCCGCCACACCCATGTCCTCGCCCAGAAGGCCGTTCACCTCGCCAGAGAGCACGTACTCCACAAAGGAGCGGTCCTTGCGTGCAAGCGCAGCCGCGAGGGCACGCGCCTTTGCGCCGTGGTGCAGGTCCACACGGCAACGAAGCAAGATGTCAAGCACGGCGCGGTATGCGCGAGGGTGCTGCGTCTGCAGCGTGTGGTGTTGCTCGAAGGTGCTGCGTGGCGACAGGAAGGCCGCCTTGATGCGGTGCGCCAGCGTCTCCGGCTGTGGGATGTCGAGCTTGACCATCTCGGGCGGGTTTGCGTCAAAGTCTGGCGGGCGGCCGTCGCTGTTGGCGTACTCGCGCACGTCGAAACCACCTTGATCATCGCCCGCACCAACCTCCAGGAACGCCTGCGCCTCCTTCAGGTCGCCGTCAAACATGTCAAGGACAGCCATGAGTGTGTCTTCGTTCAGCTCGAAGCCATTGCCTGCAAAGTAGCGCTTGAGCCGCTTGACGCCCCGCTTCCTCTCCTCTGCGCGCTGCTGCTCCTCTTCCACCTGCACACCGCCGTTGCTGTTCACCTGCGATGCCATCTTTTCCTTGCTTTGCGTGTGTGTGTGTGTGTGTGTGTGTGTGTGTGTGTGTGTGTGTGTGTGTGTGTGTGTGTGTGTGTGATATCAGATGCCGTCGGCGTTGATGTCGTCGGTCGTTCGCTGTTGTTGTGCAGCAGGATCGTCAGCTGCTTGTCATTGGATGCTGGCGAGCGAGGGTTGTCGACGATTCCAATCCCCAAGACACTGTGAAAGTGAGCGTGTGTCGTGTAAATAACAACAGACACAGCAGCACAGCATTGTCGCTGCTCTGCTCTGGGTGCTCTGGCTTGCTTGCATCTGTCACACGTGGCAGAGACAAGCGCTGTGTTACAGTGGCTGCCATAACCGCTGACTAGAAATAGCACAATTGGTGCTTGAATCAGTGTATTGTGATAGTTAAAGGACGATACGACAGAGGCAAAGAAGAGAGAGATGGCTGACGAGAAGCCCACCTTCATCCCAGCAACACAGCGGCCTGATGGCACCTGGCGCAAGCCACGGAGAGTGAGGTTGGTGTGTGTCTATGGCTGCGTGTGTTTGTGTAAAGTGTGTTTGTGTGTGTGAGTGGCTTTGCGTGTCTGTGTGTGTGCGTGTGTGTGTGTGTGTGTGTGTGCGTGTGTGTCGTGTGTGT